ACGCGCGTCTGTTTTCCTTTGTCATCGAATATAATCCTTTAACCACATTAGCGCTGGGCTAAAGAGTCGAGAGCGAGCCTTTTAGCTACGTGATCGGGGGAAATCAATCGGAAATCAAAAAGTAGAGAATTCTGTTATTGAAGCAGTGTGATCGTGCCTCTACAAATAGAAAATAGCCTGTATTAAACGGGATTGCGCCTTACAGAATTGTAAGTATATCTAAAATATATAGAGGAAGTTTTTAATCGAGTATCTTTTCCTAAAGAATTGTGATTTTTGAAAGAATAGTGCTTAGTCGACTCACGTGTATTCGTTTGCTTTTAGTTGACTAGCTAGCTTGTGTGGAATTACGCATTAAAACTAGTCCAAAACAACTGGTAGATCCCGTGGACGCTATTTTTCTTGGTGTATCTTCTACTACAGTAGCACGCTAACCGCGCTGCGAAACACTCAAGATGTGGCCGAGCATTTTCATTATTGGTCAAACTTCAAAGGGTTTTCAACCGAGGAGAAGAGGTTGCAAAATTTTGCCTGTATAAAGAGGTTTAGAAATAAGGGAAAGAGAGTTACGATAAAGAAGCGGTTGCATTATAGAGATAAGAAAATCTTTACGTGGCGAAGAAAAAAAGACGAAATTATCTTCATTGCCCTTAAACTGCTGATGGAACTCGGAAAAGACGGAGAATTGGGCGTCCGAGAGTTCGTCCTATTGCTGCATCTTCCCTCTGAAAATTCAAACCGACCTCTAGTTCCAAGCGAAGGTGGCTCGTTCATTCAAGGTGTGGCCGAGCATTTTGCGTACGTTTCGAGCTTTGAAGGGTTTGCTACCGAAGACAAATGGCTGGAGGAAACCATAACTTTGAAGAGAGTTTTAGATAATGAGGGAAAGAGGTTACGATAAGAAGGGGTTTTCATTGTGAAGTATGAAAATCTTCTTCACCTGGGGAAGAAGAGAGATGAAATCCTTTTCGTTGTTTTGAACGAGTTAGCGCGGCGTAAAGGAGTTTAGTCAGAATTTAACTCAAACTGAACTAGTTGCAACTTCCCATTCTTGCTTTGAGATGTGTTGAGTGAATTGTGTTATTGGAAATTTTTTGAAGGTTTTCAAAAAATATTATTGAACGGATCTTTCCTCTTTGACCACAGATGGCAATTAATGCCCTTAAACACAGGGAACAAGTACACTCAGTATACTGTTACAATCACTGATAGTTAAAATATTTTATTTGAACCAGTTTTGAGAGCCCTTGTAGTTTCTATTAATCAGAAAACAAACACGTGACAAGACTCAAGTTTAATCTTTAGACTCGGGTGGTCATCCACACAGTTAAGAAGAAAGTGCGTAATTTTTTAATCTTATTTATCAGAATCAGTCAGAAGGAAACACTTGTAATTAATCCTTTCATGATGTTTGGGTCCTTAAAAGCTTATCATCTAATATAGAGTTGCTGGGAGCATGGTTTGGACTTTTCCTTCACGAGACTTGGGCAAACGGATCTAAAGTTCCATTTGCCGAATTAGTTATAAATCGGCTATGTAATGTGATCAGCGACATCTGAGTCATTATTTCAACTTCACCGCTACCCCGGAGAATTCCCAACAAACTGTACAAATTTGTCGTTAGTTACGCTAAAAGTCTGCACATTCTGAGATAGGTTCACAGTTTACTCCTTCGATCATACTTTTATTGAATAATGATTTATTTTCAATAATGAATACACTTAATTACGACACTTTTTCTTCGATCTCTGCTGTTTGCCCTCCCAAACAAACTGGAATCTAAAGGTTATAAATGAACGATAATTTACATCAATCAAAACAACAACAACAAACACCCTAAGTATCGCGATGGAGGTTTTTGAACGTTACAGTTTCTCTCGGCAAACACTGCATGTGTGATTTACAGGAATAAGGCAATCACTTTGAACTCATTCATCAGCTCAACTGCACTTTGACATTCAGCTTCATGAAACTCTACACTGATACAGCAGTATTGTTTGGTTATAACACGTACGAGTGATCTAGAAAACGAGCCATTAGATAAGGACAGAGACAACAACAAAGGCAAAATGAAAGGGTTGTCCATCTGAGCTCATGAAAAAGAAAAAAAAAGACAATACTTGTTTTTGCAGTTGGCAAATTGTTTCCATTTCTAATAGCCTTTCTAAAATTTAAAAAAGTGTCGATAAACTATGCATTCAATTAAGATAACATCCATCTATATATACGGAAAACTACTCGGAAAAACAAGATTTTTAAGTTGACCGTAAAGTAAAACGTGAAGTACGAAGTAATTACTACAATGAACCAAATCGAATCCATTGACTCAAAGTTCTAAAATGTTATATTCACTAAGACTATAACGAGAAGCTTATATCTGGGAGATAATTTCAAAATTAGGGGAAACAATTTTCTTAAAAAGTACGGTCTAGGTTGAATTTATCATTTCACATTTACTCAAATATCTGAACGCGATGGTTATAACGATCAGCCACAAGTATCCTGCCATCACTAAAAACTGCCGAAGATGTTGGATATTGGAACTCTCCTGGCCTGCTCCCTTCTTTTCCAAACTTTGTTACAAATCTACCACTCAATTCAAATACTTGAACTCTGTGATTCTCTCTGTCACAGAGCATCAGGTGTCCAGCCTTGTTAACTGACAAAAAACGAGGTTCATTGAACTGCCCATCCCCGTTTCCCTTATTTCCAAATTTGTACAAAAAATCACCATTTATATCAAACACTTTGATACAATGTTCACCACTGTCTGACACAATGAGATGTTTGTTATATTGAATACAGTGAAGAGGAGCAGTAAAAACTTCACCTTCGCCAAGTTTATACAGAAACTGGCCATTGGATGAAAAGGTTTTTATAAAGCTGTTGCCCGTATCAGCAACAATGATATTTCAATTCCCGTCAACAGATAAACCAACATGACTACTCAGCTGGTGATCAAGATTTCCTTCACCACCAAACTGGCTCAGGTAATCCCCTTGCTCATTAAACAATTGAACGCTGTGGTTTTCTTTGTCCACTACTGTAATGTTATTGTTCGTATCATGTGCTATGCCAGCAGGGAAATTAAACTCTCCCCTATTATTACCCTCACTACCAAAAGATCTTAAGTAAGTTCCATCACTACTGAATACCTGAACCCTGTGGTTACCAGTCTCAGTCACTGCGATTTTATCTCGTTCATTCACTGACACTCCATATGGACCGGCAAGTATTCCAACTGATGAACCTTCTTGTCCAAAAGATAACAAGGGTCTGAACTGTCTGGGTTTCGCGTTAACAGCAAATGGACTGCCTCGAATATGTTCTTCGTTTGCTTTCACTGATAGTTGGCATTTTCCTGTGTCTTTGAGGAAATATCTGACTTTGTATCTACCATCTTTGTTATCTTGGACTCGCACTTCCGTAGCACAGTCATAGCCTTGTTGATTTTTGATTTCCACCATTACACAGTCACGCTCGTGGCGACATTGTTCTCCCTCAATATTTCTTGTTGTTAATAAGAATTTCGATGGAAGGCCAACAATCGCTTCAGTGATTCCTTTTCCTTCGGCAGTTGACTGATGAGCGATAGTTTTATTCGCAAAGGTCATAAATGAGCCGATGCCGTCCGATTTTATACTATCAAGTACTGTTTTGTTTTCTTTGAAACGGTGAAG